CGGATCAACCAAAGGCCTGGTTAAAAAGGAATGTTTTTGCCTGGTGCCTATAGATGTATAATGAAGGCACCAGGTGAACTTCCCTGGGTAGAGCAATCCACAGATGGGGAGCCACTGCAGAGAAGGCTCGTTCTCGTATTGCCACCCTCCGGACCTCTCATGGAGGAGGCACACAAAGTAGGGCCTCAGGAGATGATCTCAGGGTCTGGGTAGCTTCATATGGAAATTGGCGGTCCTTGAGGTGTTGTGGTCTGCCTCCTATGTACAAGGCTTGAACCAGAGGTGGATGCTGGGGTGATGCCCTGTCCCACTTTGTGAAGCTGGGATCTGATCAGACATCAGGGAGTCTGCACACATTTTACTGCTGTTGTCCTTGATTCTGTGGGAAGGGACCTTCTCTCCATAATTGCCCAGTGCTCTCAGGTCCAAAAGCAGATTTGTGCATGTGTGTCAATGAAAGGCAGTTTCTGAGCTGTCAGTTTTTTCCAGAGTCAAGGAGGCGGCAGCAAATTCTGACAGATTTCTACCCTTGTTCCTTCCTATATAGATAATGAGGGCCGCAGACAGTCTAGACTGATTTCATATATATATATATATATATATATATATATATATATATATATATGGGGTGGGAATGGTCTAACTTTTGGGAGCAAACCTATTTTGTACAGTATTTTTCATCCACTTCTAACTGTTGCAAATAAGTACAGAAGGAACAAAATCAATAATTGTCATTAATTTCAGGGGCTAGTAATAACATCCAAGAAGTCGCATTTGTCTTGCCGGACAATGCAGGCATTCTTCTCTATCTGATCACATCCCACTGCCTGACACAACACACAGTCGGATCGGACAAAAACGTGCTGTCTCCTTTTCAGAATGCCATCCTTCAAAGTGAGGAGTGACTGGTGAATGGCAGAATCTTCTCACTCACTTGTGGGTTGAGCTGGGGGGGTGGGGAGAAGAAGCGAAGCTTTAAGATATGTAGCTGGTTGTGAAACCCATTGCATTTCAGGATCCTAATGTTGAGGAGATGCATGGCATTTCAAATAGCGATCTGAATCATGTTGTGGGTGGGATTACTAATAACATTTCAAATTTCAGCAGCTATTGGAGAATTAAGCCTTTTCTTCCCTGATGTTTATGTCTTGGATTTAAAAAAAAAAATACGTTGAGCCTCGATTTTTTTTTTTTTTTAAAAAGAAATATTTATTTAGGGTTGCCATATTTCAAAAAGTGAAAACCCAGACACAAAAGTGGTTGAGATTTTTGGGCAAAGTTGTTGAGCGTTGGGTTGTTCTTTTTTAGCTACCGTATTTTTTGCTCTATAAGACTCACTTTTTCCCTCCTAAAAAGTAAGGGGAAATGTGTGTGCGTCTTATGGAGGAAATGCAGGCTGCGCAGCTATCCCAGAAGCCAGAACAGCAATAGGGATTGCTGCTTTCACTGCGCAGTGATTCCTCTTGCTGTTCTGGCTTCTGAGATTCAGGATATTTTTTTTCTTGTTTTCCTCCTCCAAAAACTAGGTGCGTCTTGTAGTCTGGTGCGTCTTATAGAGCGAAAAATACGGTAGTTTAGTTTAATTTTTTAATTTCAGTTTAGTTTTTTTAGATATTTTAAAGGAAATTCTCCCCCCCCCAAAAAAAATCAACATTTCCAATATGAGTTCTCCCAGGCATTTTAACTGACTTTCAAAAATACCGCCCAAATGGCATTTTCGACGAGTGAATCCTGGCTATGTCTGGGAAATTCCATACGTATGGCAGCCCTGGTTTATTTAGTTTTCAAAAGTTTGCATACTTTACCATCAACAACACCTTATTCCCAATGTAGATCTTTATTTTCCACTTGCTCCTGATGTAGATCATCATTCACTCCTTCTTCCCTGGTTTGAGAGGGCGCCATTTTCTTGTTCACCTCACATGCCAAAATGTCTTTGGACGGTCCTGGTCCAGTGCTGGAAGATTCTTCCCTCATATTGAGGCTGCCAGCTGCAGTTCACCGATTTACCTACATGGGTCAGCTGTGCATACTGCCCTGTAATGCTCAGATCCTGACGCAACAGCCCTGTTAGGAAACTATTATTCTCCTCAGGTTGCCAATGGGAACAAGTGGTTTGGCCTGAGGCCAACTGCAGAGTTTGCACCTGAGATGAGATTTGAATTGGGGATTTTCCAGTTTGAGGCTTGTGCTCTTAGCCACCAGAAATAAAAGCTCCCTTCTGTCATCTAATTTCCCTTTGTGTTTTCATGATATGACTACTAAACTGGAGGGTGCAGGAGCCTATCAGAGGAGTTGGCTAGCGATCAACTCTTTGCATGGTTTCCTTACCTGATAATTAAAAAAGGTGTGTAGAGGCATGTCTACTACATACAATTAGAGGGTGGCTCCACCGGGGAGGGCATGAGTATTGCAAAATTTTAAAAAAGAGAAAGTTTCGGTTGAATTTTCAGGAGGCGGGGGGAGCCTACCCTGGGAGTCAGGCAGACTCAGCTCTGTAGGAAAGTTGCGGGAATTTTAACAGGCAGTTTGGACAAAGTCTAGAAAATATGCTTTGGGAAAGAACAATTATGTCGACAGGGAAATACAGTGGTACCTCAGGTTAAGAACTTAATTCGTTTCGGAGGTCCGTTCTTAACCTGAAACTGTTCTTAACCTGAGGTACCACTTTAGCTAATGGGGCCTCCTGCTGCTGCCGCGCCGCAGGAGCACAATTTCTGTTCTCATCCTGAAGCAAAGTTCTTAACCCGAGGTACTATTTCTGGGTTAGCGGAGTCTGTAACCTGAAGAGGCTGTAATCTGAAGCGTGTGTAACCTGAGGTACCACTGTACTCTATGTGATGTAACAACAGAGTATCTACTTGCTTGCTGCCCATATAAGAGTCTCACAAATTTCTTTGAGGTTGGAAAACAGAGAACAAAACTCTATGAGGGATAGTGTAAGGCACCAGGCTTAATCCGTGAAAACAACGAGACTTAATACGGAATGGACATGTATTTGGATTACTTTGTTAAATGAGTGCAGAACAACTCGCCTCATTGAGGTCAGGGGTGTAAAACACAATCCAATATGTGTCATCAAATGGAGATTACTGCATCGGAACGCAGCCTGAGATGCTCAGACCTTCTCCATCTATGGAACCATGCCTCTGATAGATTAAGTCATCCTTTCATGGAGAGATTCCTTTCATTAGAGAAAGACTCTTTCCATCAGAGAAATATGAGCTTTAGGCCTTACCTTTTATTGGTAGTATTCAGCTAAGTTTTACTCAGAATAGATAATGTTCAAAGTCTGGGGCCCCAGTAGAAGCCATCAGGCCTCTGGATCAGAAAATTCTCTCTAATATATCACAATACAGTGGTACCTCAGGTTAAGAACTTAATTCGTTCCAGAGGCCCGTTCTTAACCTGAAACTGTTCTTAACCTGAGGTACCACTTTAGCTAATGGGGCCTTCCGCCGCACGATTTCTGTTCTCATCCTGAAGCAAAGTTCTTAACCCGAGGTACTATTTCTGGGTTAGCGGAGTCTGTAACCTGAAGCGTCTGTAACCTGAAGCGTCTGTAAGCCGAGGTACCACTGTACCTCCAGGGCCAATATCTGTGCCAGTTATAGCATACCCTCCAACATTTCTCGAGTGAAAAGAGGGACACCCTATTACTATCCCTTCCATCATTTCTCTGATAAAAGAGGGATGTCCAATCCCCTCCTCTCCAACATTTCTCTGGTGAAAATAGGGACATCCAAAAGCGGGAACTTCCAGGATCAAATCAAAAACTGGGTTGGCTTCTGTAATTCCGGGACTGTCCCTGGAAAATAGGGACATTCAGAGGGTCTGTAATATAGGAAATCTGAGCTGTGTAACTCTTGGCCACAAGGAAGACACTGTCACAAATGAATAATAATAATAATAATAATAATAATAATAATAATAATTATACCCCACCCATCTGACTGGGTTTCCCCAGCCACTGTGGGCAGCTTCCAACAGAATATTAAAATACAATAGTCTATTAAACATTAAACGCTTCCCTAAACAGGGCTGACTTCAGATGTCTTCTAAAAGTCTGGTAGTTGTTTTTCTCTTTGACATCTGATGGGAGGGCATTCCACAGGGCGGGTGCCACTACTGAGAAGGCTCTCTGCCTGGTTCCCTGTAACTTGGCTTCTTGCAGCGAGGGAACCGCCAGAAGGCCCTTGGCGCTGGACCTCAGTGTTTGAGCAGAACAATGGGGGTGGAGACTCTCCTTCAGGTATACTGGACCGAGGCTGTTTAGGCTGTTTAGGGCTTTAAAGGTCAGCACCAACACTTTGAATTGTTCTCAGAAACGTACTGGGAGCCAGTGTAGGTCTTTCCAGACCGGCGTTATGTGGTCTCGGTGGCCGCTCCCAGTCACCAGTCTAGCTGCCACATTCTGGATTAGTTGTGGTTTCCGGGTCACCTTCAAAGGTTGCCCCACATAGAGCGCATTGCAGTAGTCCAAACGAGAGATAACTAGAGCATGCACCACTCTGGCGAGACACAACCATTTCCGAAGATGGAATCGATCTTGGTAGGAAATGATGACAGACATTGACAGCTGATTATGCCAAACTCCACCTCCCGTAGCATAGGCTGGTCTCCAAGATTGATCTCTGACTGGTGGGCCTCAGTAACTTTCAGCCTTCTCAAGTGGGCCTTGTGGATATAAAGTATGAAAACTGCTGTTTTGGATTTCCCTCACATGAATGCGCATGTTCCCATTCAACTTGTCTTAACTCCAAAAAACATATTGTAATCGCCAGTCTGAGGTTGATAGGATCCGAGGTTGTCCGTCGCCTCAAATGCTCAACTGATCTGTGAAGCTTTCAAATGAAAGGTGAGAAAGAATCCATCCTCTCTCCACACAGACACACACACACACCTTTAAAATTTGCATCATGGAACCTCAAACATTCAGTGTCATTGCTAAATGGATTCCGGAACGTTGCGACTGGATGAGGAAGCTATTTTTGTCATCATTCATACCTGAGAGAACAGAAATAGACCTTGACGGGCAGTTATCAAATGTGAGGAGACAACGTTTTACCTGCCTGAAGAACCCCTTTCAGAAGGGAGCAAATCAGGTTAAGAACATCATTCCTCTCCTGTTTTTCAATCACACCTGCTAAATACGAGATTCCATTTGTTCCACGTGGGTTTAGAAATGCCAGTTTCACCATAGTAAGCAGCTTTTTTGTTATTATTATTATCCTTGAGTGACCTTGCAAACACATACGAGAACAATACTGATTCGACTTACACGTGGCTGAGAAATGCCTCCGTTTGCTCGCAGTTAAGGTTGCCAACTGACAAACAGTATACAGTGGTACCTCAGGTTACATACGCTTCAGGTTACATACGCTTCAGGTTAAGGACTCCGCTAACCCAGAAATATTACCTCGGGTTAAGAACTTTGCTTCAGGATGAGAACAGAAATCGTACTCCGGCATCGTGGTGGCAGCAGGAAGCCCCATTAGCTAAAGTGGTGCTTCAGGTTAAGAACAGTTTCAGGTTAAGAACGGACCTCCGGAACGAATTAAGTACTTAACTTGAGGTATACCACTGTATAGGCACAATAAGAACCTTATGCTCTTGGCCGGTTGCAAATAAAATAGATCAGCTGAGGCCTTTTTACTGTTGGTACACATGTATGAATTAATTGCGACAGTGCACATGTGAACACTAAGGCATGACAGCAGGACAAAGAACTGAATTTGGGATATTGGGGGCAGGGGGAGTGCATACTGAATTTGAGAGTAGGCACAAGAGTAGACCTGGCTTCTTTGACCACAGCCCCATGGTAAAATTGGAGCATATGATCAGCTTTTAACTCTGGCCTGGATCATGCTGTAAGTCAGGGTTTCCCAAACTTGAGTTTCCAGCTGTTTTTGGACTACAACTCCCATCATCCCTAGCTAGCAGGACCAGAGGTTAGTGAGGATGGTGGGAATTGTAGTTCAAAAGCAGCTGGAGACCCAAGTTTGGGAAACCCTGTCTAAGTTGTTGTTTAAAAATGCAAAGCACATTTCATTTTCTTCTGAAATGTTAACTACTCAGTTGACTGGGGTGATCTTTTTTAACCTAAAAAATTGAAATTTAATCCATAACACATATGTAAATGCCTTCTCTTTTGACAGTGCTGCTATGCATCTTTGTGCTTGTTTCTTTTCATATTGCTGGAATTGGTGGTCAGCAAAATCTCCTTATTTCCTTTACCTTTCTTACTGAACAACTTTATGCATCATGAAGACGCAGTTTGGATGGCTTTAGAGAATGTAAATCTATCAATGGTTCCTAGTCATCAGGACTGTAAAAAAAAAAAACAGGTAAAGGACCCCTGGTCAGTTAAGTCCAGTCAAAGGTGACTATGGGGTTGCGGCACTCATCTTGCTTTCAGGCCAAGGGAGCTGGTGTTTGTCCACAGACAGCTTTCCGGGTCATGTGGCCAGCATGACTAACACGCTTCTGGTGCAACGGGACACTGTGATGGAAGCCAGAGCGAACAGAAACGCTGATTACCTTCCTGCCATAGTGGTACCTATTTATCTACTTGCATTGGCATGCTCTCAAACTGTTAGGTGGGCAGGAGCAACGGGAGCTCACTCCGTCATGTGGATTTGAGCTGGGACAGAGCAACGGGAGCTCACTCCGTCACATGGATTCGAACCACTGACCTTCCAATTGGCAAGCTACCCGCACTCCTTCATCGTGACTGTATGAATAATAATAATAGTAATAATTTATTATTTATACCCCATTCATCTGGCTGGGTTTTCTCTGCTCAGTCACTCTGGGTGGCTCCCAACAGAATATCAACAACAACAACAACAATAATGTGATAAAACATCAAACATAAAAAACTTCCCTAAACAGGGCTGCCTTCAGATGTCTTCTAAAAGTCAGATAGTTGTTTATTTCCTTGACATCTGATGGGGGGAGTGTTCCACAGGGTGGGCACCACTACCGAGAAGGCCCTCCGCCTGTTTCCCTCGCTTCTCACAGTGAGGGAACTGCCAGAAGGCCATTGGAGCTGGACCTCAGTGTCAGGGCTGTACGATGGGGGTGGAGACGCTCCTTCAGGTATACTGGGCCAAAGTGTCTCCAGAGGCACCATGCTATTGGAGAGCAACACCTGGAGAGGACTGTAGGTCCTGCTTGTGAGCATCTCAGAGGCATCTGGTTAGAGAAACCAATGTAGTACTGATTTTGTTGGACTTCAGCTCTCATCAGTCGCAGCCAGCATGGCCATGATAGGGCACGATAGGAGTTGTAGTCTAGCAGCATCTGAAAGACACCAAGTTGGTCACCCCCGGGTTAGATGCTGTAGGAAGCTGCATGCTGGTCTAGTTGAACCATCGGTCAAGTATGGCTCTTCCAATGTCTATTGCAAGTCTGTGACCCCGCAGGGCTTTTGTTATATTCACATCCCTATCACTCATGTTATCAAATAATAGGGCCTAGCCAAACTGTCCTAAACATTAATAGATTGGATTATCTATATAATCACTGCAATTACCTATGCTTCCACTCAGACCGTGTGCAATCTTTTCGTTCCGATAGCACTTAGGGATAGAAATCTTATTTTCATAGAACGACTAGAGTTTTATCCCCAGAGATGCAATATATTCCTCCGAGAAGCGACAAGAAAATGACCGAAAAGTGAATTTTTAAATGAGCTACGTTTTGTATCACAAGATGAGCGCATTTGAAAAGCTTTCCCCTTCTCCTTCCTGCTAATGACCTGGCTTTACACGCTTGAGGCACATTAGGAACCGGAGGTCGGAGGAGATGAGTTTGATAGAAGTGTGCAGGATTGCAGAAATGGAGTTCACCTGCTCAAAATTGAAGCTTCTCGTAGCAAGCAATTTGATGAGTGCTTTTGTATAAGCAACCAAGCTTAACTGAAAAACCTTTCCCTTTTTTTTTAATATGAAGAGCCTAGCTCCACGAGGGGAAGAAATCGAACCTTTCTGTAGCCACCGACTTTGTTAAATGATTGGTTTGCATCAAGTTGCCCCGCATAGCTGCCAACGTTTCCCTTTTTTTAAGGGAAATTCCCTTACTCCGAATAGGATTCCTCGCAAGAAAAGGGAAAAGTTGACAGCTATGTTGACCTGTGAAAGGGCCCCAGCCCTTGACTCAGTGTCCCAGACACACACGTACACCAACTGTATTGAAAAGAAAATATTTGGTACTCTGCAGTTGATGTCTGTTTGTTTTTTAAAAAGTTTGCCCAATATAGATTGTGGAGAGACAGGGAAATGGGTGCAGCAGTGAAATCAACAGACCAGAAGAGAAACCCTCTGGCAGCAGAGCAGCTGAGTTGGTGAATCTGTCCTTTTGCACACTGCTAGCATTGACTACTTGGGTTGGGACATGTGCCTTGCCAGCTTGGTCCATGCTATCAGCATGAATGAGCATTACAGCTCCGTGAGCAGTCTGAGTTCCAGATTCCGCTGGTGTTTGCATCTGACCTTCGGCTGCCAAGTCAAGCTAACGGCAGCAGCTTCAAACAATAGGAAGGTTAGCCCTCGGCGATTCCTGCCTAGCCGAAAGATTAGGGAGCTGTTCTCTTGCACTTCAGGCATGCCTTCACGGAAGCTTCCTGTATTCTGGCTTCGGAAAGGCAGCTTGCAATCGATCAGGTCTCCAGGAATGGCAGACAGGACCACGCAGAATGGAGGATGCTAAGTTGCAGGGCATGGCGTTAATCCCACATCATGCACCGGCCTGACAACCGTTTCTGCAAGCTTCAGAGGATGTGGGGAGAAGCACCCTGCTTGAAAAGATGGAATGAATCAAGACATATCTTGTAAGCAAGAGCTGTGGGGTCATGGCTTTGATGCAGGAATATTGGAGAATGGGCATCTGCTAAATAAAATCCAGAAATGTAGACACACTTTTCTCTTTTTCTTTTTTGCTGCAATACTTACCTGGGAGTAAGTCCCACTGAGTTCAATAGGATCAACTTCTGAGTTGGCATTAATTGGATTGCAGGGTGAAGCCACATTCACAACATACATTTAAAGCACTATGATCACTCTTTAAACAGTTTTCGCTTTCCCCTCGCATAATAATTCTGCAAATGCAATTTGTTAAGGGTGCAGGGAGTTGTTAGGAAGCCAGTGCTTTTTTTCTAAAAAGAAAGTTTAGGGGTACTCTAATTTTCCTACTCATATTGAAATTGAAATATTGAAATTTGATTGAAATTGATACTGAAATACTGTCCCTGAATGAGGCCAAACTTAGATTCCCAAAATGTTTAGGGGTATGTGTACCCCCGCATTGTCCCCGTCCCCCCCCCAGAAAAAAAGCACTGGAGACCCCTATTTGTTTCACAGAATTACAGTTCCCAGTTCCTTGATTGTCAAACCACTCTGGGAATGACATCTCCCAGAATTCTTTGGGTGAAGAAGCCATGACGGTTTGAAGTGGCATCAGGGTCCTGTGAATGTATGGTGTGAATGTGGCCCAAGAACCCAACATCTTAAAGACAGATGGATAAAGAGTTGTCTTCAGTTGGCAGGCTGTGTGTATGTGCTAATGCATGCATGCAGCTACACATAGGAATGAACCACGCCACCCATCAATGCAAGCTTTATGTGCTTGAAATGCAAGATATAGGTGTGTCTTGAATTCACATTACTTTGTAGAGTCAGATATATTGCAAATGGGCAGAAGACCTCGTCAGAGTTGCTATGACCCGCTTCCAAGTGATAATGAATTAGCTAAACAAGATGAACAATGAGCATCACATGAGGGACAACTGAACCAGTCACAGCTTCCATTTAGCCCGAGTCTAATGGTGTCAAATTCAAAATATGAATTCCAGCTCAGCAGCTTTTTGTTGGATATTCTTCTTCTTCTCTATCCACTTACTACAGAATGTTCCTTTGCTGCTTTCTGAACTGAGCTCCGGCAAGTTCCCCCTGAAAAAAAGTCCCACTTCAATCTCTATACAGCATCCGGCAACTGAAGATAATATTTTGTGCATCTGACAAAGTGGGTTGGCCTACGAAGCTTATGTTACAATAAACGTCTTAGTCTTCAAGGCGCCACACACTTACCGAATGTAAGGTTCATTATGTTCTCCAGGCCCTTTGAACAAAAGACGTTATATGTCTCCCAGTTTGTTGACATCTCACCTTGTCCCATTTTTCATCAAAGGTGACGACCAAATATCTTGGCAGAAGTGCTTAGCAACAGCCTTAAATCCACCTGGAGAGTGAACATTTGAAAAAGCGTATGTCCTGTGGCCCACTTCGGATGCTACATTTGTGGTGCATTAAAGGTAAAGGGACCATTAGGTCCAGTCGTGGCCAACTCTGGGGATGCGGTGCTCATCTCGCTTTATTGGCCAAGGGAGCCGACGTACAGCTTTCCGGGTCATATGGCCAGCATGACTAAGCCGCTTCTGGTGAACCAGAGCAGTGCACCGAAATGCCGTTTACCTTCCCACCGGAACGGTACCTATTTATCTACTTGCACTTTGAGGTGCTTTCGAACTGCTAGGTTGGCAGGAGCTGGGACTGAGCAACGGGAGCTCACCCTGTCGAGGGGATTCGAACCGCCGACCTTCTGATCAGCAAGTCCTAGGCTCTGTGGTTAAACCCACAGTGCCACCCATGTCCCATGTATGCACATACATACCAGTTAAAAAGAAACATTCTCTGTGTGAGGCACATCCAACAGGAGTTGCTGCATGTGTCTTGGCACATGTAGAATACACAAGACAAGACCTTCTAGCTATTCATCCAAACTACAGGCGGCAACCATTTTAGGCATGTCCAAATTATGTGTGATTGCCGATGTGTGGGTCCTTTTGGACCCGGAAGAGGGAATAATGGAGGCAGAATGGTAATGGAGGGGTGTAACAAGGCATAACGGGGGAGGGCTCACTTATGCCAGGAATGGAACCCGCACGCAAAATGGCCATCACCGGTAACATGCCATTGTGCGATTCCAGCTACATTCCATCAACACTGGGGACAGAACATGACTCAGTGGCAGAGCGTATTCTTTGCCATGCTCTCAACACCTGCCATCTTCAGCTGAAAAGAATCAAGGACTGACTGTTGGGAAAGGCCTGAACCTCGAACCACAGTTCAAGAAGGACACTGACAAACTGGAACGTGTCCAGAGGAGGGCAACCAAAATGGTCAAAGGCCTGGAAACGATGCCTTATGAGGAACGGCTAAGGGAGCTGGGCATGTTTAGCCTAGAGAAGAGGAGGTTAAGGGGTGATATGATAGCCATGTTCAAATATATAAAAGGATGTCACATAGAGGAGGGAGAAAGGTTGTTTTCTGCTGCTCCAGAGAAGCGGACACGGAGCAATGGATCCAAACTACAAGAAAGAAGATTCCACCTAAACATTAGGAAGAACTTCCTGACAGTAAGAGCTGTTCGACAGTGGAATTTGCTGCCAAGGAGTGTGGTGGAGTCTCCTTCTTTGGAGGTCTTTAAGCAGAGGCTTGACAACCATATGTCAGGAGTGCTCTGATGGTGTTTCCTGCTTGGCAGGGGGTTGGACTCGATGGCCCTTGTGGTCTCTTCCAACTCTATGATTCTATGATTCTATGAACCATGTCGGAGCCCTGATAGTCAAAATAAACTGAGCTAGAATGAACAAATGGTACGACTGGGGGAAAGGCAACTTTGTATGTTCTAAACATCGCATACATCTGAATTAACCAAGGTCTTAAGTGAGGCTAATTGAGTTTAGAGGACCTCCTTGAAGTGGAATGAAAGTGTGATCTTTCGCAAGAGCAGGCATTTCCCTCCCACCTTGAACCTGAGTAGGTTTAGAAGAATTTAAGTATGGGATTTATATAAAATATACTTCTGTAAAACCAATCAACTTTTGCTTCAAATTGCAATTACATAACAGCATGAAAATAATAATTCTCGAAATGAAACCTTTTGAAGACATACAGGAGAAACATGATTAGTCTATAAGTAGAATTTAATCCATCCTTTGACACCAGCTATATATTTCAAGCTTCATAATTACATGAACAGGTGAGTAATGTGTTCTGGCGTCTTCTCACTTTGAGAAAAATATGTCAAAGATTGAAATGCTCTTATATGAATCACTTAATTTATTCTCACTGTGATATGTTTTTATCCATATGTGTGTGTGTGGAAAAACTTAACCATTAAATCTTTACTGTGACTATAAAATTCCTTGTACAGTGGTGCCCCGCAAGACGAATGCCTCGCAAGACGGAAAAACCGCTAGACGAAAGGGTTTTCCGTTTTGAAGTTGCTTCGCAGGACGAATTCCCCTATGGGCTTGCTTCGCAAGACGAAAATACCTTGCGAGTCTAGAGATTTTTTTTTCGCTTCCCCCCCCCTTTATCTAATCTGCTAAGCCTTTAATAGCCTTTAATAGCCTTTTAGCAGCTAATCCCCTAAGCCTTTAAGCCTTTAATAGCCGCTAAACCGCTAATAGCGCTAATAGCGCCAATCCGTCAATGGGCTTGCTTCGCAAGACGAAAAAACCGCTAGACGAAGACTCTCGCGGAACGGATTAATTTCGTCTTGCGAGGCACCACTGTATTAAAAAAGAAAGGAGGGGAGCTTCTGCATGTTCTATCGGTGTTTACGAGTTTATCAGCTTTTTATTACGAGTGGAAGCTTCTTACGATATCATCCATGCATTCTGATGACATTCTGTGTGTCTGTGCATCTTCTGAAGAACAGTCAGAAGAACATGAGGAAGCCAAGTGGATCAGGCCAATGGTTCATTTAGTTCCACAGTCCATTTCTCACAGTGGCCAACTAGCTTCCTTCTGGGAGGCCTACAAGTAGAACATCAAGGGGAAGAGGTCCATAGTTTGCATTGGATGCAGAAGATCCTAGGGTCAGTTCTCCACGTACAGCTGGGAAAGACCCCCTTCTGAAACCCTGGAGAGCTACTGCTAATCAGTGTGGATTGGGGCAGAAATACTCTGGCCTATGGGCCTAATTAGACTTGCCAAATGGCCTTCCCAATTGGCTCATGAGTCCACTTCAGCTGAGCCATGACCAAACATCCATCATATATGTTGATGTTGACAAGCTGGAACGTGTACAGAAGAGGGCAACCAAGATGATCAAGGGTGTGGGAACCAAGCCTTATGAGGATTGGTTGAAGGAGCTGGTTGTGTTTAGCCAGGAAAAGAGGAGATATGATAGCCATCTTCAAATATCTCAAGGGCTGTCACAGGGAAGAGGGAGCAAGCTTGTTTTCTCCTGCTCTGGAGGGTAGGACTCAAACCAATGGATTCAGGTTACAAGAAGGAGATTCCAACTAAACACCAGGAAGAACTTTCTGACAGGAAGAGTTGTTCGACAGTGGAATGGTCTCCCTTGGGAGGTTGTGGACTCGCCTTCCTTGGAGGTTTTTAAGCAGAGATTGGATGGCCATCCTTTTTTTATAGCTTTCATAACTAGAGGTCATCATCACACTTTGTGCAAATAGCTTACATATTGTGTGGTATAATATTTTCTTTAGCCTGCCTGAATCTAATGTCCATAAATGAGCCCAAGTTCTAGTGTTGTAGAAGAGAAACAGGCTTCCAGGCATACCTGTAGATCCTCACCCTGTATGGAGCTAGAGCCTTGCTCAGCCTCACAGGCAAAAAAACAGAGCAGGAGCAGAGGCATTGACTTGTGCCTAAGATCTGAGGGGGCCCAGAGCACACATGTGACATCATGTCCACAACATGCATGCAATGTTGCATCATCAGGAGGAGGCCAAGCGTGGACCCTAGCACAGAGCAACTTTAATGACTGACAGCTCCTCCTCACTCATGTTCAGGAAGAACTGACAACTGAAACCTTGCTGCACTCAGCTCCATGGTGGCTCCCTCCTCCTCCTCCTTCGGCGATCACTCGTAGCTGAGTAAGAT